CTTGGTCTTCTCAGACTCCTGGGTGCAGGCTGCAGACAGAGCCTGGAGGCCTTTGTTTCTGTACCCTGCCTACTCCCTTCCCCCCAAGGCTGTGTGCTTGGGACAGGGGAAAGGAAAGGAAGAGACGTGAGGGTTGGTGGGAGCAGGAAGCCCTGACCAGCACCTGGGAAACACTGACCTGCAGGCCAGGCCTCTACAGACCAACAGGCGCAGGTGATGCATTTAGGAGATCAGCGCCCACCCGTGGTTGAGTCTGTTCTGGTGCCAGGGTGACATGTTAGCCTGCTTTGTGTTTGGGGTCCCATTATGGGGAGGCTGGTTCATAGCTGGCCTGTGAGTCCTCTTTCCCAGCTTCACGGTTTCAGCCTTCCAGCCCATCTCTCTCCTCCTGTCTGCTACCTGTCCACTCCCTCCTGACCCATCTTGGTGCCTGACCTCCCCCGGGAAATTTGTTGAGCACCATCCTCAGCCAGCGTGGCCCACCAGGAGAGTTGGTGTGCGCCTACTGCCTGGGTTTGCCTTTGGGTTTGGTAAAGCATGGGCCTGGTCTTTTCCTGCCTTTCACACCAAGTCCAGCTCCCTGCAGCCCCATGTGGGTCTCCCTCCCCAGGGACTTCCATAGAGCTGGTGTTCAGCTCCTGTGTGCACACGGAAGCAGGGCCTCTTCAGTCTGACCCAGATGGGGGACATGGGTGACATTCACCAGCATGGGTCACAGCAGGCTGCCAGTCAGAGCTGGTTGTGGGATACAGCAGGTCACAGGTCACAGCAGGCTGCCAGTCAGTGCTGGTCTTGGGTCATAGCAGGTTGTGGGTCACAGCAGGTCACGGGTCATAGCAGACTGCCAGTCACTATCAATTTTGGGTCACAACAGGTTGTGCATCACAACAGGCTGTGGGTCACAACAGGTCATGGGTCACAGCAGGCTGTGGGTCACAGTAGGTCACAGGTCAGCAGCCTGTGGGTCACAGCAGACTGTGGGTCACAGCAGGTCACAAGTCACAGCAGGTCACAAGTCACAGCAGGTCACAGGTCACAGCATGCTGCGGGTCACAGCAGGCTGCAGTACAGCTTCGAGGGCACAGAGCAGGCGGCTGTGTGAGAGCCATGTCCGACTATCGTTTACTCTGTCTCATCATGAGCTGGATGTTCAAGTCTGTGGCCTCAGGGATTGGGGGAGGAGGACTCTGAATAAATGAACAAATGTGCAAAGCCGTCCGCCCTGTGGACATTCGGGGACAGGCAGTGGGAGTGGTGTGTGCCCCAGGCAGAGGCTGGCCTCAGTGTCGGGCAGGCTGACACTGGGGCTGGCCACAGAGGCGCCGTGGCCCTGGGGAAGTCTGGAGCTATTCCATGTCAACAGACAGCCCTGGCACCCTCGAGAGGCATGGAGGTGGCTCTGTGTGGGGCCACCTTTGGCCACTGTGGAGCAGGCAGGGCTGGCGGCAGGAGGGTGCTCCTGGTGTAGGTGCGGCCAGGGAGGGCTGACTGGGTGCAGTGGACCTGGCAGAGGCAGTCAGCACCGGGATGGGTGCAGGCCAGATAGAGGGCCCTGAGGACTCAGAGGCTGAGTGAGGGGATGGCACCAAGGTCGGCTGCCAGCCCCTGTCCTCAGAGCTGAGGGAAGGACGGGGCCCTGTTGAGACGGCACGAGTAATCCTCAGCCCTCCTCTGAGAGAGAGAGAGCCATGCCCACCCCTGGGCCAAGCGAGCTTCCTGTGCACCCAGGCAGGGCACCAGTTAGCGGTGGGGGAAGTGGGAGGGCGTGTCTGTGCCCCAAGAAGCTCCGTCCATCAGAGATGCACAGGGCAGCAGCTGTCCAGGGCCTGGAGGTCATAGGAGATTAGGCCCTGATGGGCCTCAGGGTGAGGTAGGAGGGTGACCAGGAGGTCGGAGAGGCTGGTGTGAAGGGCAGGGCAGGGACGAGGCTTGGGTGATGTGGCGCGACAGGCAGGAGCCTGGCTGGGAGAGCCCCGAGTGTCTGAGGGGCCATGGGACAGGCTGGTCCTCCTGAGGCCTACCTGCGAGGCAAGCAGACAGGCTTCACTGAGGGGCACGGGCTTGGAGGCTCAGCCGGGCTGGACTGGGACCTTGAGGCGAGGGGTCTGGGCTCTCACACCTCTGTGCCTCATTACCTCGCAGCCCCAGAAGGTGAGCAATCTCCCTCCCTTGGCCTGGAGCTGCCATCTCCCCTTCACCATTGCAGCATTAGGCCTGCCTTGCCCCTGAGCCTCTGTGGCTTATGCTGGGTGACCATGAGTTTGTTTCTGATGAGGCCTTGAGAGGAAATGTGTCTCCTCTCTCAGGTAACCACCTTCCCAGTGCTAGATGAAGACCCCTAGGCCATGGTCAGGCCCAGCAGAAGTGCAGAGACTAGCTAGAAGGATTTGTCAGACAGCTGTCCTGGGAGTGTGGCCACGTAGCCCTGCCGTGTCCCAGCCGTGTGACTCGGGCAAGGTGCTTGGTGTCTGTTGTGAAACGGCGACTGCAGCACCTGGCTCTCGGCACAGAGCAGGAGAGCCTGTGGACCCGCAGAGAGCCTGGCACACAGAAGGCACCTCATGATCCAGGGCTGCCGTCCTTGTCCATCTCCATGTTGTACTGACGCAGCCATGTACTCTCTTGTCCTGGCCAGCGTGGGAGAACTCTCAAATCTGCCCAGGAGTTCAGAGCATCCTGACCACCAGAGCAGAGGGGAAGCGAGGTCATTAGGAATTGCTAAGCCCACACTGGTGACCAGAAGGCAGTGTGTCAGGGCCTTGTCACAGGAGGGTCACAGCAGACACAAGCCCTCCCGCCCTGGAAACAGACTCGTGCCAGGCTCAGAACAGGGTGGGCGGCCCTTTGTCAGGGGTTTCCCACCTGAGATTCAGCAGGCCACAGACAACAGCTTTGCTCCTGCCATCAGCATGCAGGGACCTGTCCCATCATGTTCCCCGACGACACAGAACAGCCACCGTTTACCCAGGCTGACCGCGTGCGTCCTGTAGTGGATCAGCGACGACAGAGCGCATGGGAGGTTGTGCCCAGCCGTGTGCAAACCCTGTGCAAGGACCCAAGCGCCTGATGAATTTGTGTCCTTGGGTCCTGGAGCAGCTCCCGGATGCACAGGGAGGCTCTGTGTGCCCTCTGGGTGTCTCCTGCTCATAGACCAAGGGGATGGCCCCTTGCAGTCCAGCGTGTTGGGGTTCTGGTACCTGACGTACACCTGTGTCTTATGGGTGCCCTTGTCTGGGGGACCTCTATCTCCCGAGCATCCTGGGTTCCTGTGAGGGTTTCCATGGCAACAGAGCAACTACAACTCGTCTGTGGGTAATTACAGCCCTGGAGTTCACCAAGCAGCTTTGGAGATGGAAGAGGGGTGCAGAGGTCGCCCCCAACACCACGCCCAAGGTGACTTCACTCTCGAATGCCAGCAAATAACTTGCCCACTGCGGCTCTCTGCAAAATGCCTCTCCCGTCCTGGGGCAAGAAGGCCCTCTCCAGATGCTCGCAGGCAGAGGGGCTTCTGGCTGGTGGGGGATGTCAGGAGGAGCACTGAGGCCTCTCTGCCCTTCTCCGCCCCTCCCTCCCCTCTCAGCAGGGCCGCCTCTGCCTGCTCCTGGGAGTGTCTACAGCCTCAGGAAGCTGTTCCCTGCTTCTCACTGAGGGGAGCCTTCTTCCCTATGAGTGGTGAAGGCTACCAGCCTCCAAGAGTCCCAAACTAAGTGAAGATAATGAGGCTAAAAACAAATAAGATCACAAAATAATAAATAAACAGAAGGGATAGCCAGCCAGCCCAGGAGAACAAGGAAGGCAGGCTGTGTCCCAGGCCCCTTGTGCTGGGCCCTCCCTGTGTTGCTGGTGGCTGCCTAGGACCCTCAGATGTCAGGGGCCCGAGGGAGGGCAGGTGTGGGTCAGGAGACAGGCATGCCAGGCTCGTGCCACCGAGCCACATCCCCAACCTGAATCTCCTCACTTTTTAGGGAATTTGAACTTTCACCTTAAAGATCCAAATCTCAAAATATTGACAACAAAGTCATTTATTTATATATATATATATATATATATATATATATATATATATATAAAAGAAAACGGAATTAAATTTGACATGGGCCCCTTCTGGTCTCCTCCCTTTGGACCACATGGCCAGTGCTTCCTGTGAGAGTCCCTTGGTCTGCCATGTGCCCCCGCACGTGAGGTCATTCCTCAGCATGTGCTCATGTGGCCAGGGCTGGTCATGGTCACTGAGTGTGCTGCTCGGGCCTCAGCGGCTCTGATGCCCTCCCTGTTCTGCTGCGGGGCCTGGTGGTGACCAGCCACGGGGCACAGGCAGGAGCAGCCTGTGCTCAGAGCTAACAGGTGAGCGCTGGACCTGGGCTCTTGGGCTTGGACTCTGCCTTTTGAGCAAAGACGGGAGGATGTCCTGAGGCCAGGACAAGCCCCAGGAACACACCCCTTCACTCAGCTCAAGAAACCTGGCCTGTCACTCCCTTAGGACCCTTCCTGGGGACTGTGACCTCTGGTCCACGGGAGCCACAGCTGGGGCCAGAGACTGGAGCAGGAGGCCACGTGGGGGGTGTGGACCTGGGGTGGACGTCCACGTAGTGGTGGTATGACTGCAGGGCTTCTCTGCCTGTCCCCTCTGTGGAACAGGGCAGTTGCAGCACCTGCCCCTGTGGTAACTGTGAGGTCTTCCAGCTGAAGTGGGAGCCCCAACCTGGAGGAGAAGGGGTGGCCTTGCAGAATGTCCACCAGGGGAGAGGAGCAGGCACCCTCATGTCCGAGGACCGCAGAGGCCCTGCAGCTCTGCTCCGATGCTCCCAGCACTGAACACAGAGGCAGGGAGTGGGGCCTCGCTGGGCCAGAGTTCCCCATCCGCTCTGCCTCCTATGGGGACACCGACCGTGGAGAGGGGGTGAGGGACCAGCGCTGCTCTTGGGGGTGGCGGGAGAGGCAGCATGGCTGGTGGAGCGTGGTGGGCTGTGCCGGCGCTCAGGGGCCTCCTGTCCCCACAGCACATGCGTGAGGCTGCTGAACGGCGGCAGCAGCTGGAGTTGGAGCATGAGCAAGCCCTGGCTGTCCTCAACGCTAAGCAGCAGGAGATCGAGCTTCTGCAGAAGGTGAGGCTGGGTGGGAGGGGGTGGGGGGGGCGGCATGAGGGGGGCATCACGGGCTGCAGGGCCCCTCCTCCCTGCAGGTCCCCCGTTTTTGCTCCACCCTGCTCTGCCTTCTCTTGAGCTGCCTGGAAGCCACATCCAGTGGTGCACAACGGGGTGTCCACCCTGGGAGGCCCGAGAGGGTGCTCTGACCCGTGCCTGGCACGGACTTGACGGCTTCGGCTTTGGGGAAGATCCACCTGCAGCACAGACCCAGTGACAGTGTAGAGATGTCCACCCTGCCACCCTGCCTGGGGTGCACCATGCCAGAAACGCAGGGCAGGGTCCCAGTGTTGTCGTGTGGGGTGGGGATGGGACCTCAGTTCCACCAAGCGTCCACCCAACTGCCATGCTTGTGTGGAGTGCGGCATGTCCATACCGTGGCCCAGTAGGGCACCACTGAAAGGGGAAACTTGGTTTGTATCCACTGTTGGCACGGTATGTTATTAAGTGAGCAAGTTGCTGAGCAGTATTTATAGCAAGATCAGAGGGGGGGAGAGGAAGAGAGAGAGAGAGAGAGGGAGAGGGAGAAGGAGGGGAGGGGGGGAGAGGGAGAGAGAGAGAGGGAGAGGGAGATGGAGGGAAGGAGGAAGAGAAAGAGGGAGAGAGAGGGAGAGAGGGAGAGGGAGAAGCTGAGGGAGGGAGAAGAGAGGAATCAAGAGAAAGAGGAGGAGAAAGGCGAGACGGATGGCAGGGAAGGAGAGAAGAAGGGACCAGCCAGCCAGGAGTCAGGTGCGTCCCCAGGCACCTGTGACTGGTGGGCTAAGGATGGTGGCCCTGCCCTTTAGTGTGCTGTCTCAACAATGGGTAGGAAGTCCCTCTTGCAGGAACAAGGGGCTGGTTGGCCCCGAGGAACTAGAACTATTCTAGACCTGAGAACAGTGTCTCCCCGATGCCCAGTGTCCTGGCTCCTGCCCACTCCTCCTCCTGGCAGGGCAGTGGGCCCTCCGGCAAGATCACCTGGTCAGGGCTGGCAGAGGGATGAAACCCCAGAGGGCTGTGGTCGGTGCTCATGGCCCTGGCCCTGCCATTGGCTGTTGAGCCCAGGCCAGGCCTTAGGTCTCCACGGAGGCCCGTAGCCATCCATGGCCTCTCTAGTCCTTGACCTCACAAGAGCCACGTGATGCTTCCCACCAGGGCTGGGGGTGAGAATCGCCACTGTTCTCTTCCAAGGTTGATTAGCAAGGGCTGGGGCAGCAGCCAGATGACTCCTGGTGGCCTTCCTCCAGTCGTTCCGGAAGCCTCCTTCCAGGGGTCGACTTCACCAAGCCAGCGCTGATGGGAACCCACAGAACCTCTGTTGCTGCCGCAGAAGTTGGCTGTCCCCTGATAACCACATGTGTGGTGCCTGGGAGGAACCCTGCTGGGTTGCAGGTGGAGGGACATACTGCTCTGGTCTTCCTCCGTCCTGCCCGGGGGCCTCCCCCATGGCCGGGAGGGAACCTGCATTCATTCATGTCAACGGGGAAGCCACATCCCCAGGCTGGCCCCGTCTGACACACAGAAGTCTGCAGAGCTGCAAGTACTGACCAGCAAGGACTCTGCTTCTGGACAGTGACGAAGTAGCTGACACCGAGGAGGACAGCAGGCTGCTCCTGGTCATCCTCTTGCCTCGGCGTCTACTTTCCCTCGCTCTCTGTTTACTTATTTTGCATGGCTCGTGGTTTTCTCTATTTTTGGACACACTGATGCTTCCTCTGGGGGAGGAAGAGAGACCAGATGAACTATGGACGCACCAATTGTGTAATTTCTTGGAAACTCTGAATCTTAAAGCAGATACTGAGCGTCAAGTGAAATGAGATTGGCGAGCTCTCCCCGGAGTCCACTTCCTAGCCAGTTCCACCCTGGATGTCTGTCAGGAGGCCTGAGCTGACCGTCCACCTGCTCACTTGTTCATCAAGGACTGGTGGTCCCTGGATGCCACTCAGCTGATCCTGGGAAAGGGGTGGTGTTGTCCAGGGAGCCTGGCCTCTGCCCAGTGGGAGCAAGTGAACACACACTAGGACCAGGCAGCCCAGCCCGAGCCACGACAGGCGCCCCCGGGAAATGCAGAGAGGAGTGGAGGTGTGACGGGCAGTGGCTGTGGGTGAGGGTGACATCTAGTGAGCAGAAGACGCCCCCCTGCCACGGGCCAGGGAAGGGCGCAAGTCCTCAGCAGGAGCAAGCTCAGCACGACGGAGAGGACAGAGGCCAGGGAGGCGGGCTGTGGGCATCGAAGGGACAGGGCTTGATCTTGGACTGCAGGCACAGAGCTGGATTCTAACCCTCAGGCCACCAGAAAACTGGCGTCCAGCCCAAGATGTCGTTGACCCCGCCCCCCCGCCCCCGCTAGGATAAAAGCCAGTCACCGTGCTTGGCCTGTCCAGGCCCTGCGGGGGTCTGAGGGGTGCTGACACAGGAGAGCTACCTGGTGTCTCTGTCCACATCCCCGAACCCTCTTGGAGCCCACCCTCTTCACACTACCAAGCAGCTAATTACCCCATGCGTGGACTTCACGCCCAGGGCTTGGTTCTCTGCCCTCATTTTCTCTGACCCAAAGGCCCCGTGTACACAGCAGGCTTCCGGGACCGACCCAGCCTGGATCTGTCCTGTCCACACACCCCTCTAAAGTCACCCTCTGACTGAAAGCTGGTGACCTCACCTGGCCCTGGGGGATTAAGACCCACTTGTGTGTGGCCTCCTGGGTTTGGGTCTCAGCCCAGATGCCCCCTGGGAGCCCCGGTTCTTTCCCCAGGCTCTGGGGCATCACCAACCTCCTGCCCCACTGACCCCCCCACCCCCAAGTCCTCAGCACTGCACACCAGCCACCTGGCCCGGCTCTGCAGATGGTGGCGTGTCCCCTGGTCTAGCTCTGGCTTCCTACTGGAGTTAATCGCTGCCCTGGTCATCGCCAGCTTCCAACTCCCAGTCCCAGACTCCCAGCTGGAGCCAAGAGCTCCTTCAGGACCGTCCTTGCCCTCCCTGGTCCTCGGCACCCACGTTCCCCGAGCTCCTGCTGGATGGAGCCCTGGCCTCTTCCTGCAGGCCAGGCTGCTCCGGAGGCTGCATGCGGAAAGGGGTCCCGGGAATCCCTCTCTGCTGGACCCTCTGCCCTCCAGATCCCAGGAGCCCTTTCTCTGGACGCAGAGGGTGCGTGAGCAGCCAGGAGCGTGTCTGGAATGTGTCTGGGTACTGCCCCTTCCTGGCACGTGGCTTCCTCTGGGGCCACTTTTCCAGCCACAGCCACCCTGAGGACAGGCTGGGCATGCAGACAGTGAAGGCCAGGGAGCCGGGCCCATCGCCTGGCACAGGTGCCTTCCTGTCCTTGGTGGCCCCTCCCCCTCACAGTGTGGGGCTGGGGGAGACCGTGACACTGTGCCAAGGCACTGCTATATTGAAGGGCAAGCAGGCCGAGGGACCCACGGCCTCATACAAGGCTGTCCTTGTGGGAGTCAGGTGAGATGGGCAGCCTGCCAGCCCTCCTCCCAGGGGCCTGGGCAGAGTAGGAAGGCAGGGAGGCCAGGGTGAGGCCCGTTCTGCAATAGCCACAGCTTCCCACGGGATGGGGAGGGAGTGCTCACAGGGCCTTGCTGTCCTACTCAAGGGGCATGAGCACCTCAGGTCAGCAATGCCCAGGGACGCGGCCAGGCCAGACAGGGTGAGGCTGGGCTCTGGATAACGCTGCACTGAAGGAAGCATCTGCAAGGGACTGGCATGGCCCTTTCCGCAGAAGACTGGCCTTTTTGCCTTTGCTGGACCACCAAACCTGTCCCCTCTCAGGGCTTTTGTCTAGAATGCAGGTCCCCAGGCCATTGCAGAACTGGCTTATTTTGTCAGGGAGTCTGTGCTCTACTGCCCATGTGGCACAGGGCATGGGACGCCAAATGTGACTGCTTATTTCTGTGCTTGCCTTTTGTCAGGACACAGCGTCCACATCCCAGGGCCTTGCCTGACACACAGTAGGTGCTCAGGAGCATCTGAGGAAAGCTTATGGTCAGGCCAGAGTACGAGGACAGGTGCTGGATTCGAATCCTCCCATGCCCATGGATTGAATTCGCAGCCCCCCCACAGCCCCCAAGAGCTGTGGGCACAGGACCCTGCATGTCAGCAATGGGATACCTGAGGACAAAAGCGGGCTCAAGACACGGTGACAACTCCGAGCCCTTATCTCTAGGCCAGAGAGACCCCTGGAGTCCACCCACCCCCTGTTTTTGAGGGTTTCAGTCTTGGGTGGGCCACGTCCAGTCCTACAGCCACCCATGGAATGAGCAAAGAGTTTCCATTTTTAAAATGCATCTGTGGATCTGACTAGGTCGACTATTGTTTAAACTTCTTGTGGCTGGCGAGCTGATTGTGGTCAGTTTCAAGGCTGTTGTTGAGATGTCAGAGCTGGAGAGGCCGTGGTCTCGTGCTCTGGCTCAGGCCACCTCCCTGGGAGGCCGCATCCTGTTGTGTGGGGAGCAGGCGTGGGCTCTGCACTTCTCCAGACACACCCCGGGTGTTGGTGTATGTTGCCAGCTTGCTGAGTCTGCCCAGGGCCAAGGCAGGGTACCCATGGAGGCTCCACGGGTTCCCAGGGTCTTGTTTGCTTTCTGTGGAACTGACTTGAAAGACACCGATGAAGGCCCTTGGCTCCTCCATCCTACCAACCCACTGCCGTGACCCCTGGGCAATTCCTAATCTGAGTGTCAAGGGGACTGTTCTGCTCTTGTGCCTGCATGGCTGGCTTGGAGTCTCTGCTGTGGCCTCCTGGGCAGCTGGTCCTGGGACAGCAGCCCCTCCTTCCAGCCTCAGGGGCCCAGGGTGCCCGGGGGGCCTCAGTCCTCTGGAGTTGCACCCTCAGTGTGGTCTATTCTGCAGGGTGGCACCTGCCTGCCCGTGGGCGGGGCCCTGGGAGGGAGCCTTGCTCACTGCTGCTGAGATTGTGCAAGGACTCGGCTCTGCCAGGTCCATCTGTTAACTTTTGTTCTAACTGATTGTCCAGGGGCCCAGCCTGCAGGCAGCCTGGCAACATGAGCCTACATTTCTATCCAGAGCCCAGGACTGAATTGCTGCCAGCCTGGCTGGGCGGTGCCGGCCGCCTTGGCACTGCCCTGTGGGCCTGCCGGGCGAAGGCCTCCCGATTCCACGGATGCCACGGGGCATTGTTTGTGCAGGCCCGCAGGTCCCCTGACCCAGACTGGCCTTTTTCACGTTCTGTTATTTATTATGGCTCTGGTGGGTTTTTCTGAGAAAGGAACAATTTTGAGCACTTGCCATCTGGGCTAGCTAGAGAAGAGCATGATTGACAAGCGGAGTCGCGGTCACTTGCCTGGCTCTCGGCCCCTCCTGGGAGGCATGGGAGGATGCTGTGGGTGTGGATGGACCCCGGGAAGTGCGAGCCCTTTTTCATGCTAGTCGGTGCCAGGATCCAGGTCCCCCTCTGTCCACCCACACGCAGTCTTCCCAGGGAGAAGCCGCAGCTGCGAGGACATTGCCTACTTGCCTATTTGTGACGGACGACGCCCCAGACGTATTTCTCCAGGCTGAACAGTGGGTCTCAGCTTAGCACCGGGGTCTTTCTTGGTGCCCGATACTCCTTCTCCAGACATCAGTGCTTCTGCCATGGGAGTGTCTGAGCCCACTGAGCCCTGCAGAGTGGGGTACACAGCGGGGTGGGGGGTGCACCCAGGAGCCCTGGTTCTCAGACCCTCCCAATGAGCTTCCATTTCTCCAACTTTACAATGAGGGGTGCCACGGTCTCAATGGTGGATGATGGTGTTCATTCAAGGACTCTCGGCTTCAAGAGATGGAAAATCCACAAAGGAAATCTTGTCCTCACCAGTAACTGGAAACCTGACTTCAGATATGGCTGATCCAATGCTCAAACCAGCTGGTTCCGACACAGCTAAATCCCAAGTGCCATTAGAACTCATTTCTCTCTGGATCGGCTCCCAACCTTCTCTAGGGCAACTCATTCTGGGGTTCCCCATGGCGGACCCTGGCCACGCCAACCTGGCTCCAATTTCGACTTCCCTCAGGTTATGGCCTAAAAGGGAGAAATCTCCCTCCCTCCCAGAAGGCCCAGGCCAAGTATCATTGCTCAACTTAGGCTTTGTGCCCCTGCTGATGCGCCAGTCTTTGAGAGTGTGAGACCTTGCTCATTTCCTCAGGGCAGGGGAGGGTGGATCCCAGCAACTTCAGGGGCCTTCCAGGAGAGGAGGCGAGGTCACAAACACAACTTAGATCATCACGATGCTGGAGCGTCCAGGTCGGAGAGGACAAGGAACAATGTTGCATTCCAAGGTTGCAGGAGTGGCCCTGTGCAGGGCCGCGGCTGTCCTGAGCCTGGAATGTCTTTGGTGACACTTGTAACATTTCCTCTGTAAGACCCCCACCCATGGCCTCTCCTTCTAGGCCAGGGAGATCTCGGCCCCTGAGCTGTTTGAGGTCACCCTTGCTGTTCGCCGTGTTTCCCTAAGGGTGAGGATGTGGGACCCGACAGCATGTGATGGCCTTGGCAGAACCACTCTGCTCTTTGGGGCTCAGCGTCCCTCCCTGGGCCGCTCTCAGGAACAGGACAAGACTGCCCACCCTCAGGCCCAGCCACATCCCAGGGCCCACCCTGTGTGGACCACAAGAGCATCAAACCCAGCCAAAGCCGCTCCTGGCCCTGGGGGAGACCCTGGGAGCGAGGGGCCCCATCTCAGAGCCACCAGCCCCTCCTTTCCTCTGACCACTGCTCTTCTCTCTCTCCATGCGGAAGGCTCAGGTTGAAGCTAAGAAAGAGCACGAGGGAGCCGTGCAGCTGCTAGAGGTGAGTGGGCCTCGTCTTTCTGGGGCCATGTCCACCTTTACCCCCAGGGCGATGTCTACCTTTTCCCCCGGGGACACTGGGGCATGGAGGGGAGAAGCCCTCCTCGGCCACACAGCCAGCGTCAGAGCTCCTGTCTCAGGGGCTGCTCTTAGGGGGAAGCCAGGAGTGGCCCCTGCCGGCCTGGGAATGGTCCCTAGGACTGTGGGCGAGCTCTCTCTGGGCCTCCTGTCCTCTGGTGGGTGGTGTGACACCAACCATGGGGAGGCACTTACAGGATCAGAGAAAGGACAGCCTAGCAGTCAAAGTGGTCAGTGCCACCAAGGCACTTCCAAGGGTACCATCCTCATGGGAGTGACCTTTTTCAGCCCCCCAGGGAGGGGGACTTGGAAGGAAAACTGCTGGGCTGGGTGACTTCATGGCAGTGGACACTGCTTGCCCTGGCTTTTGGTCCAAGGCCAGCCTCCTCTGCAGAAGGTGGACAGGCATCAAGGAAGGGCTCTTGGGGTCATTCTGGGGACCTTGGCCACCTGTACTCTTCATGCATGCAGAGCAGCAGGAGGCCTGAAGACAAGGGCGTGCAGTGAGCCACCTGCTAGGGGTAGGCAGAGTGGACTGCCCAGCGCCTCTCCTCCTGGCCGCCAGCCCCCAGTGAGTCCAAGCTCTCCAGATAATGGGCAGGGTCACCCCTTAAGATGGCCTGTCCCTACCCCCAGGGAAGAGCCTCCACCAAAAGCAGCATGTGCACCCTTGTGTGGCCTGGGGGAGGTTCAGTCACCGTCACGTATATGTGAGGTTGCTTTTCCAGTGTGTCCTTTAGTGAATGGGTGTCAGGGTACCATGTGAACAGGGTAGGAAACACAGCTGGGAGACTGCCCTCCCTAGGCCCCGCTGCCCCAGAAGGCCAGGCCCCCCTGCTCCACCCTCCCCTGGCTGCAGCCCCTGCCTCCAGGCCCCCAGAGTTCGTCCCTGGGGCTCCCCGCTGGGGCCTCCCCTGGGCTGTGCTCAGGGTCTGCTGTAGCCCCTCACCGCATGCTTTGACTGGCAAGAAGCATGTGCCTGGGTCGGGCAGAGGGGAGGGCGGCGTGGCTGCTGGGAATTGTCTATTCACAGTGTCTTTTTGTGATTGTGTCTTGCTTGGCTCCCCATGCAGAGCGCCCTGGACAGCATGCAGGTACTCCCAATAGCCCTGACCCTGCCCGTGTGCTGGTGCCCCTCAGCGGAGCCCCGGGCCAGCCCTGCCCTTCCCCTCCCCTGGGCTCCTTGAGGTGCTGCTGTGGGTGGGGCTCTGGGCTCCCAGCCTGGGGGCCCAGGAGCTTGCACTAGCCTGCAAAGTGCTGTCCCCTGGACTGTGGGGCCAGCCCGGGGCCCACGCTCTCCTGTGTCCTGCCAATGCTGTCACATAGTCCTGTGAATTCAGATGACCAATGGGGAAGAGAGGTTGTTACAATGATCTGGTCCTTTGGCAGCCACGGGATTGGGAGGGCACAGCTCAGTGCCCAGAATTCAGCACGGGTCATCCGAATTCACACCACACCCTGGGTGCTGTACCCTTCTGTCCTGCCTGCCCTGTGCCAACAGCAAGCTCCCTCCACGGCTGAGCGGGACAGCCCGGTTCTCCATGGGCAGTGGAGGTGGAGTATGAGCCGAGCTGTCCCTGGAGCCGGCCTTTGGGCATTTTGCAAGCCTCTGAGCCCACTTAGCATTCAGAAAAGGGCCAGCTCTTCTCTCTGCTGGAGGAGGGTCCTCAGGTGGACCCAGGCCCTGTGGTCTTGGCATCTCCTGGAAGCTTGCTGGAGGGGCAGACTCTGGAGCCTGGGATGGGTGTCTGTGATCTGTGTGCCCCCCAGGGATGGAGGCCACAGGGTCTGGTGACATTATTGGAGAGTCCAGGGCCCGAGGCTGCAGGGTCTGCAGAGTCCAGTGTTGTTGCTGGAGAGGCTGCCAGGCCAGCTGCTGGGAGGAGGGGATCTTTGGGGGTGCGGTTCTCTGAAGCCTGGTCAGCCCGTATTCTGGCTGTAACAGAGCTCCTCCCCGCCACCCCCAAGCCACTTACCTACCTCCCAGGATTGAGATATGGATATAAATTGGACCCATCGGGTTGGGTCATTGAAGGTGTGGTTGAGTGCAGCAGTTTTTGTTTCTGAGTGTACGGTGGTACATCCTGAATGTCACGAGGTGGCTGATGTAGACAGCACTCCTCTAGGTACAGAGAGGCCTGCGGAGGCTCACCTGGGAGGCCTGACCCTGCCCTTAGATGCCGCGTGCGGAAGTCCAGCCTTGGGACGTGGCAGCCCTGTTTCCTGGAGTGTGAGCGGGCAGCGTGCAGGTGGAGCCAGTCCCACTTGAACCCCAAGAGCCTGGTGGTCCGGAGCCCCACCCTGCTCTGGCTTTCTGCGGTCCCTGCGGGGAGGCCAGGCTGTGCTCTGGCAAAGCTGAGTCAGAGGTGGGGGGACTGCAAGCCCCACGCACAGCTCCATTTGACTGAGGCCCTGGCCTGCCTGCCCCATCCCTGTCACCTGCAGTCCCAGAGTCACAGCACCAGAGCGGGGAGCATGACAGAACTTAATCTTTAAAGCCACGGATGAGGTTGTCATTCTCTCATTTCACTAGTTAGGCAATCACGGCACAGAGACCTGAGCCACTTTCCCGGGGACACACAGCTCATAATTGGCAGAGCCAGGTCCTGAGGGCCAGTCTGCTCAGCAAGGTCACCTCCTAAGCACTGAGAAAAGTCCTGCAAGGAAGAGGTTCCCTGAACGGCAGTGCTGCCACACAGCACTTACCCAGTTCCCCTGCGATGGTCATCAGGAGCAGGCCTGACTGGCCGGAGGCAGAGGGATGCCCTCTGATGTCCTGAATTTCCAACAGCTCGGTGCACTCGAGGGGAAGCTGCCAGCTGGACAGGTCTGGGCATCTGGGCACAGGACTAGATAGAGATCCAGCCTGAGGTGCCACCCTAAGTCCTATGCCTTGTCCACTCAAGCACGGGGCAGCTCAGATACACAAGCCAGTCCACACCTCCTGAGTACGTCCAGTCCCACCAACAGTTGCCTGTCCTTGCTCATGCTTAGGAGAGAGCTGGTCACCTCACGGGGACACTGGCATGCTCATCAGCACACCCTGGCATCAGTGGAGACACAGCCAGCCATGGCTCCGGGCAGTGTGGCTCTCCGGACAGCTGTGGGCCCTCCCCACAGGTGGGATTCTCAGCATGGCCATTCACTGTCCTGGAGTGGGCACCCCACTCACTGGGCCGAAGGTCTGTGAATTACAGATGGCAGAGCCCCAGCCCCAGGACACAGTGGTTGTTGTGTGGGGACCTGTGTGGGACAGCTGGAGGTCAGTAGGGCCACAGGGCCACACAGCCTGCCCTGATTCGCCACTGGACCTGCCGATGCGGGGACAGGACCTGCACTTTCAGGATCGCTGTGTACAGCCCGCAGCCCCTGCCTCCAGTGGCCCCGGCCCTGCCAGACCTTGAAGCTTAGAATGAAGGGTTTCACCCTGAGACAGATCCCTGCTTCCCTTGAAGAACTGGAGTTGGGACCAGAGCGGTCTGGACAGAGCCATACCCGGGCCATGCTCCCCTCCTCCTGTGGGCGGCCCTGTGCCATTGGCTGCACTGCAGAAGGCACCGTGCACCACTCACGGTCAGCTCCCAGCACCTGCCCAGGACCTCCCGAGCTCAGCAGGCTGGAGCTCCACAGCCTTGTGTGGGTACCGGCTGGGACAGCACACCCCACACCGCTACTGGGGCCAGCGGCTCACAGTCCCCGGCCAGTGATCTGTACCGCGAAGACTGGACACTCTCTCTGCCCTCTGAGACGAGTGCCGTGTAGCCCAGAGCTTCCTGCCGACACTCTGCCCTGCCTCATCACCTTGGCCTCTTTCCACAAAGGGAAGCAGAGTCCAGCCTCCTGTGGACAGGACAGCCTCAAGGCCTTGTATCTCACTTCTGCGGGGACCTGGGGAGTGGGGCCTTTGGCTCAGTACAGGACGATCCTGTTGTTGGAGGCCTGTGGGCCAAGTCAAGCCCGGCTCCCTCTCTCCCTGAGAGCCCCCGTGCTGCTCAGGGAGGCCAGCCCCACCCAGACTTCCTCTGCCTGTGAGCCAGGGCCCTCAGGCTTCCTTGGCAGGCTCTCCACTGGACAGGCTCCTTCTGTGGTGACCAGCCTGTGTGGACACCTTCTCTGCGCCACTTTCTAGACCCAGTGCTGAGCAGGTGGGACAGACACAGGGGCAGACGTACCCAAGGGCCCACAACTGCAGGCCCTGGCGTGAGGCATTCCTGGGTGCAGAGTCCTGTGCAGGCTCATGTGACATCAGCTGTGCTCATGTCCTTGTGTGGGACATAGCATCCTCCAGCACTGGCCGTCCACACACTGCTGTCCTGGTCTTCACTGTGGCTGCCTGGCCTTGTGGTGTCATCGTTTTAAGACCCTATTTACTTTTTGAACCTCTTTATTTTGAAGTACTTTAGAGTCACAAAAGCTCAGAGGCTTCTAGAGTCACAGAGTGTTCACTGGACCGTAGGGGAGTCGGCAGGGATCTGGTTCAGGGGCAGGGCCACCTCCTTTGGACCTCTCCAGGGTCCACTCACACTCCTTTTCTGGTTCTGGTCACAGTTGTGTGGAATTTGGTTGTATGTCTGGGCCCCGTGACCATCACGGCCAGGAGCATGGTCGGCTGTGCCACCTGAGGACGTCACGCCCTCCCATCTGGGCCCTGAGGACCATGGCTATGCTCATTTCAAGGGCTCCTCAGAGGACACCTCTGTGGGCACCGCTGCAGGGGGGCTGGGGGCGGTGGCTTTCCTGGGGCACCAGGAAGTACCTGGAACTGTCGAAACCCGGGTTCCAGTTCCTCCACGCACCCCAGGCATCTCACCTGGCGCACAGGTACCTGCAGCCTCTGGTGCCTCCGGTGAGCTCAGGCCCTTCTCAGGCCCTTCCTGCGATGGCATGTGGCCGCTGTTCCCAGGAGCCCCTGTCTGCCAGCGTCTCAGGCCCCAGAACCTGACGTCACCGCGGCTCACCCCGGGGTTTTGGCTCTGTGCCTGCCTCAGCCAAGGCAGCCATCCTGGGCAAGCTCATTCAGATTTTTAAAGAAGAATCCTGTTGATTTTTTTTAATGAATTGGAGAAATTAATTATAGGCTTGGGACATGTTAGGTTTATTTTTAGAAATCCATGATCTCAGACACAAATAGCACTTCATTCTGGATGGAGGAACCCAGGGGCTGCAGCTCCAGCGGTGGGGGAGGAGGGGAAGGGGGAGGGGGAGGGAGATGGGAGAGGGGAGCTGCAGGGAAAGCTTGCCGCAGCTGGCACAGGTGCCTCCAGCCTCCACTCCCACTTTCCCTTGGGCCTCAATAAAACAGACATCTGTTGAGAGCTGCCTGCATACAATGCCTGGCCCATGCCATGGGCTGGGTGCGGCAGGAACCCAGCAGATGAAGACCTGACCTGGAGATGATGTTTTAGCAGGGGGCAGATGACGGGCAGAATCAGCGCTGGCACAGACAGGGTGTCCCAGCCATCCTGGAGTGGGGGACAGCAGGACAGGGCGTGCACACAGATGGCACAAGCCATGCTATGGAAACATGGTAGCTGCACATCAGGACTTCCCGCTTTGCTTCGATTCATTTATTAAACCTGATGTACTGAGAGGCACTGAGGATGTGTCTGAAAAGAAGGAAGTGAAGGCACAGGGCTTTGCGGTCCATGGAGACATACAAGGGACAGGATGGGAGGTGGTGGGTGCAGGGAAGGAGGAGTGTGGGGCAGGGACCACCTCCCCCTCCACCTGGGCACCGGCCTTGCCTGGTGCAGGAACTCCTGCAGCAGAGGGGATGGGGAGGGGGCTTCACTGGTGCATGCTGGCCCTGAGCATTGGGCAGCCACAATGGGGTCAGGAAGCAACAGAGAGCAGAGAGGCTCAGAGGCCGGCTACGGCCTGGCCCAGGCCTGTGCCTGAGGAGAGAGCTCACTGGGCGGCCCTTCTCCTGTGTGTCCTGAGGGAGGCTCTGTCTTTGTGAAGTGGGCAAATGGCAGCGAGTTTGCTGACCTGTCCAGCAGAAGGACATTCCCTTATTCTGCTAGAGGCGGTGCCCTCTGGGGTGGGCATTGCAGGTGGGTCAGCCACCGTGCTGTCCCAGCCTGGGCTGGTCATAGCTTCACGCTACCCACCTCCACCAGCTGCAGCCAGGCATGCCCTGGGTGCCGGCCACGCTCAGAGCCCGGAGCAGCCGTGCTGGCTGTGAGCTGCACGCTCCCAGGATTCTTGGCACCTGTGCTTTCTCCTGGTGGCTGACAGCCGGCTGCATGCAGAGCTAGGCGTTGGGCTGGGACTTCCCATGAGGTGGCAGATAGGCCTGCCATGCACACAGCCCACAGTCCTGGCCACGTGGGCCCCCAAGGCCTCCTGCTGACTGACCCCCTCCCACCTCTGCTGTGCAGTGCAAGGTTCGCGAGCTGGAAGAGAAATGCCGGACGCAGAGTGAGCAGTTCAGCCGGCTGTCCCGGGACCTGGAGAAGTTCCGGCAGCAGGCCGGGAAGATTGACCTGCTGGGCAGTGGCTCGGTGGCCTCGCTGGACATCCCCTTGGCCCCCAGCAAACCTTTCCCGCAGTTCATGAATGGACTAGCCACCTCCATTGGCAAAGGTGAGTACTGGGCCTCCCGGGGCCGGGGTGGGGAAAGGATGCCGTCCGCCTCCCAGCCAGGCTGCGCGGGCAGAGGCTTGGCAATGGATCCCACACAGCCAGGCTGGCCCTGCCCAAGGCTGAAGAGCACCGCACTGTGCACCTACACCAGCTTCTCTTCCTCATTTCTTCCCTCCCCTCTTTCCCTCCTCCCCTCTCTCCCTCCTCCCCTTTCTCCCTCCTCCCCTCCCCTCTCTCCCTCCTCCCCTCCTCCTATTCTCCCTTCTCTCCCTCCTCCCCTCTCTCCCTCTGCTCCTCTTTCCTTTCCTCTCTCACTATTGATGGATCCAGGGGTCTTGTACATACTAGGCAGGTGCTCGGCCGCTCAGCCACACCCCAGCCCTGGCTTAGTCCATGTCCTGTGTCCATTCATCCACCCCAGGCTCTCTGTCCGGCTCTTCCAGGGTGGGCAGGGAGGAATTGCCGGCTGGCCACGGGGTCCCAGAAGAACAGAGGTTCTGCTTCTGCTGAACCTTCCAGCAGGTCTCCTCTGCCTCTGGTGAGGTGGTCTTGGCTTGGAGGCCAGGTGGGTGACGAGTCTGGGTGTGAGCCCTAGGGGACTCTGTAAGCAGAGCCACATGACAGGAGAGCGAGGTCTCTAAGGACCTCCCTGCAGCAGACACTGCACCCCAATAGAATCATCCCTGAACCCAGGAGCTGGCAGCCTGACAGGCAGCCTGACAGGGTGGGAAGAGGCCCCGCCCCAGCCCCGCCCCACCCCGCCTCCCAGGGCCCCCCGGCCCTGCCCTCGCCTCCAGAGCCCCGCCCCAAGCCCCACCCCCGTTCTCATGGCCAGCTTTCCTTTCAGGATGGGAGCTGGGAACTTTTTGTGATATCCCAGAAAAAGTCACTGGGAATTAGCAGTTCTGTTTTCTGGAGCACACATGTCCCAAAGCTCAGGATCATTGGAGAGTGCACCTGAGAACCACCCCGTAAGGTCACTCTCACCCCCGATGAGGCATGCCAGACAAAACCTTTTCTCCCTCAAGAATTCCTACAGATCTGAACAAGTGGAAGGTGACTGCAAGGTGACACTGCTGTGTGTTGGCCACCCATGCAGTTCGCTGGGGCAGGGCACCAGTCAGGACAGCCTGAGTTCTGCTGCATTAACAACCAACCCCAGACCCTGGGGCCTTCCACCAGCTCCGGGCCACAGCCCCCACCCAGCGGTGGACAGTCACTTCCACTCACACCCCTTCCAGGGCCGCGCTTCCAGTTGCCGGGGGAGGGAAAGATGTGTTAGTCTGGAGCAGGGTGCCTGCTGGTTCCTGGCTGGCTTCCCTGGGCTTCAGGGCCAGTCCCCCATGACCCTTTCCCTTGCACTGCTGCCTGCCAAGGCGTTCTAAGGCTTCAGGGCCATGTGGCCACACTCAAGGTCCCCTTGCTAGACCTGATGTCCCAGCAGGGAGACGCTTCTGCTGTCCTCGGTGCCATCGGCTGTCACCTGCCCAGGGGAGCTCTGGGGCTCTGCCAGCTGCCTTTCTAGGGATGCTTTCAGGTCACTTTATATCCCCGGGTCCTCACTCAGCAGCTGTCCCCGAGGCTTTGGCCCGACAGAGGCTGGTCGGAGGCAGCAGGGCGCCCACCCTGTCCTTGTGCTAGCAGAGACCCTGGGGGAGGGTCTTCAGTTAGATCACCTCTGGGTCTAACTGAAGGGGGACACTGAGACCACCGTGGGTCAAGCCCTCAGTGCCCCTTCCCAGCAGCCAGAACGGGGTTCCCTGCCCCCAGCCCGGGAGGGTGGTCAGGCCGAGCCTCGTTGCCCTCCAGCAGGGCTCTTGCCCAAAGTGCTTTCCAGCAGTAAACTTGACCCTTTGGCTAATTAGGACTCTTGGTCATAGTGACAGCAAAATCTAACTTACCCTGGTGTGAACCAAAAGGAAATTGTCCTCTGGCTTCAGGTACAGCTTGGTTCAGGGGCTCTGGCCATGTCACCAGGGTCCAGTCTTTCCTCTGAGAGCAGGCTCTGTTCTTGTATGAGTTTCCTACTCCTGGTGGCAAAAGGGCTGCTATGTCACTGAGACTCACAGTCCCATTCTAAGCTAAGGAAAGGGGAAGCCTGTCTGTGGGGGCTCCCACTAAAGCCCTCTGACTGGAGCCCCTGCCATGAGCTATAGACCCCCTTTATAGCCGGGCTGCATGGCTCAGGGCCAGGGGTGGGCTCAGATTAGCCGTGGACAAGATGAGCTGTGTGGGCCCCCCGTGGCCCCCCCACAGCTGAGGCAGAAGAGGAAGGTGCCTAGGGAGCAGGTGCCACAGGCTTGTCTCATCTCCTCTCCTTTCCCCGCCATGCTCCTGCCTGTGGTCAGGTCACGAGAGTGCCCCTGGACACTACCCTGCGGTTGGTGACTATTCCCCGCTCTCAGGGGGCAAGCCGGAGCTGCTGTCTGCCAACCCCACCTTCCTGTCGCCATCAGGGAGCCCAAGATGCAGATTTGAGTCAGACGTGAGTCTTCCTGCCAGGCACCTGGCGCTGGGCCTCTGTGGCTAGTGGACATGGGGGCCCTGTCCATCCTGCCCAGTCCCACCTTGTCCTTCCACCCATCCTCCTCCTCCTGCCTCCCCTGGGTCCTTCCCTCACTGCAGCTAATCCCTGGAGCCTGTCCTCACTGCTGGCTAGGGGTGGCCTGCGAGGGCCACTTTGGGCACACACCTGAGGCCTGGTCTCTGAGATGGCCCCTGAGGCCGGGACTCAGAGCGTCCAGCCAGCATGCAGAGAGCAGTTCACAAGAGAGAGTGGGCCGCTCAGCGACGGGGCAGGGAGAGGCTGGTCCAGCCCAGGGGAGGGCCTGCTTGGAGGGAGCCGGACACTTGTGTCCATGACAAGGGGTCCTGACGGGTGGAACTGGGGCTGGAAGGTGGGCAGAGTGTCGAGGCCTAGGCACCAGGACAGTGTAGGTTTGTCTGGTTGAAGGCAGGGGTGACGTGGCCACCTGCTTCTACCTGGAGAGTGTTTAGGGAGGTGAGGAGCCAGACCTCCAGGGGAAAGCCACTCCTGCTCCCACCCCCGGGGCTGTCACTGTGGTGTAAGGGACCATGGCCTCCTCAGGGGATGGCAGAGTCAGGGCTGCAGGACAGGGCATCCCTTGCCCATCCTTGGGCACCATCAGACACAGAGGTGCCACCTCCGGAGGGCAGAGGACACAGGTACTCATCTGGGCTTCAGCGAGCCACCCACCCAGCGTGGCCAGCATTGCAGTCTGTGTCCATAAGAGGACCCTCAGGGCTTTCCTGGGGTTGGGCCTGGGCTCTGTGTAGATGTCCATTCTGGGTTGGGTGCCCAATAGGAAGCCATTTCTGGGTTCACACAGGAGGCTGAGCATGTGGGGCTGCCCACCTGTGGGTGTCCAGTCTGGGTCCATTTTTCCAAAAGCCCATGGCGGCTGCGAAAGGGCTTCCTGGGTGTCCCGGCACAGAGGTGAGGCCTGCAGCCCCCTGACCAGGCCCCCTGTCTCCGACAGATGGACAATGAACAGAACTCCAACACCTCGAAGCAGAGATACTCGGGCAAGGTCCACCTGTGTGTCGCCCGCTACAGGTAGGAGCTGGCTGCAGTCTCCTTTCCTCACAGGGCCTTTCCGGTTGTTTTAAGTCAGTCTTTGCAATAGGAGGCCCCAGGGGCACCTGACTTTGTCTCACTCTGGCCAGGACTCTGACTGAAGTTGACCCCTATGTGCTGAGGACCTAAAGGTGTGACGCCCACCCTCCCAGGCTGGGCGAGGATAGGAAGCTGGTGCGACTGACCATGTGGTTGGCAGTCACACCCCAGATTGGAATAATGCCCAGATCTAATCCAACAAATATTCTCCCTGGGATCCGTAGGAGGAGATTGGAGAGGTGTGTGCAGCAGGATTAGCCAGGCACACACTGGCTAAGTAAACCCTGCCAAGCTGCTTGGTGGAATACTACATATCCACTAAAAAGGCTAAGGCAGTGTTTCACGAGCACTATGCTGTGTAACAAGGTGACAAGTAGGTGGATCGTGAAGTAGTATGTGATAGGATCCGCCTTAGCGTGATTACATATATTTAAAGCTTGTAAGGTTCATTTCTTCCTATTGCCTTATTAATCTGGAGCTGTGTAGTTATGGTGGGAGGGCAATGGGACGATGTCAGGATCATCACACTTCTGTCCTCATCTTCCCGTGGTCTGTGTGAATGAGCCCGTGTGCTTGGCATGCGAGGCCCCGGCTGGGCGCGGGGCTGTGCTTCTCAGGCAGGAGCAGGAGGGTCGTGAACTGAATTCTGTCTCTCCCTCCAGTTATAACCCCTTCGATGGGCCGAATGAAAACCCGGAGGCCGAGCTGCCCCTCACGGCGGGGAAGTACCTCTATGTGTACGGGGACATGGACGAGGACGGGTTCTACGAAGGTCTCTGTTGGCACCAGGTTGCTGTTGGGGAGCCTGGCCAGTCCACCCCAGGCCAGCGCTCCTGGGCTGGCAGCCGGCAGGCCCCGGTCACTGCTGGCTGCCGAGCCGCTGCTCTGTCCCTGTGGGGCCTGAGTCCTCGGGTTCCCTTCAGGACCGGAAGGCTGGGCGGGGAGCCGGGTTCCCACCCGGGCAGAGGCTGGTGCTCGGTGGATCTTCAGGATGCTCAACTCTGCAGGGCTGTCTGGCAGCTGTGGGTCTACCCCGGGGCTGACCGTCCTCTGCCCATGGTTGTCCCTCAGCACCCACAGGAACAGGTCCCAGGACCCCCGAGGATATAGAGTGGGCAGACGCCCAGGTCCCTCACAGGAAGGGGCACCATTGCTTAGGGCGTACGCACATCCTTGTTGCCCTCCCAAGTCCTCGCAGGTGCCCACAGTGCCTACCACCTTGTCCAGGACGGGACAGTCCCCCCCATTCTACCCGCATCTGGTTGAGTCTGTGGTGGTGGAACCTGTGGACACAGAGGGCTGACTGTGCTCCCAGGGATCCCTTCTCTCTCATCCTCCTGCCCCCCAGCCCCCAGGCTGCATCCTCTGGTGTGGCCAGGGCCATCTAGGTGACCTCACTGAGACTGGCTCCCAGCACCTGCAGAGGTGGCCCACCCATCCCGAGACTGTCATGGCCCCAGCGGGTCTGGCCCATTCCCAGGAAGATTGCTCCCTTTCACGCCACCCTCCCGCCTCTAGTTTGGTATCAGACAATGTGAGCTGTCTACCCAAAGGGCCTCCCTTGCTTAGCTTGAGGACACACAGGACACCCCCACAGTTCCGTGAGTAGCTTTCTGCTGTAGACATGAGCCTTCTAGTCCCTGAACAGCCCACTGTCCTGCACGGAGGGCCTGGGTCTGCCCCATCTAGTCCCTGAACCACCCACTGCCCCACACGGGGGGCCTGGGTCTGCCCTGGCCCCCTGGGCAGGAGGAGTTCATCTTGTTAAACCATGAGTTTTCTCTTGCATGGCCTTGCAGGGTCTCCCTAGAGCAGGTCGGAGCACCTAGGCTCATTTCTGGGCACTTGCTGGCGAGAGGCCAGGCCATCAGTGGACGTGTGAGCACCCCTGGCAGGCAGCGACATGTTTGCCATGAGCTGATTGCAATGCAGGGCTATGGCTCTGGAGGCCCCGAGTCACACCCCAGGGTGAACATGTACACCCTGCCCCAACGGAGCTCTGCCATCACTCCCTGCTCTGTGGCCATGGAGACTCTTCAGAGGGCTGGCTCAGAGCAGGTTGAGGAACTCAGGGAGCCACGGTTAGGGTGGCAGTGGGACCTGCTTCCCTTCTGGGCCTTAGTTTCCTCTGCTGCAGAATTAAAATGGCAGGGTACCTACTCCTTAGGGTAGCTGTGAGGATAAATGAGGTGGCAGATATTAGGTGCTTATGATAGAGCCTGGCCCAGAGTAGGTGCTCAGCAAATGTTCACTGTCATCACTGTCACCATTATGACCTCACCATCGTCACCATCACCATTATCATTATCACTATCACCATCACCATCATCATTACCACTATCACCATTATAACCCTCACCTCCATCACCATTAACAACATCACCATCATCATCACTATTACCACCACCTTCATCACCATCAACATCACCATCAACATCATCACCGCTATCGCCATCACCATTATAACCCTCACCATCCTCACCATCATCACTATCTTCACCATCATCACCACTATCATAATCACCATCTCTATCACCATCACAACCATCATCAACACCATTGCCATAAACATTATCACCATCTCCATCCCCACCGTGATCATCACCACCATCACCATCAATGTCACCACCATCACTATCTCCACCAATGTCACCACTACTGTCATCATTACCTTCCACCCAAGTCACAGTATGGATGTTTCATAGTCTGTCCTCCAGGGAACGCTTGGTCTTCCTTGAGCCCACACCCTGGGTCAGGGTTAGACACAGAGAACCCAGGGCAGATGGACTGGTCTCCGTGCCCTCTAAGGCCCTGTCCCACTTCCCCTAAGGCAGGAGTTCTCCCGGGAGCAGAATCCAGCCTCCCTGGTCACCTGGCTGGGTGGTAGCCTGTGAGGACCTGGGGGGACAGTACTGTGGGCTCTGTGCCTCACCTTCAAAGCTCCTGTGTGTACTTGTCCCTCTCCGGGGCAGTTAGCCTTTTGAGCTGCTGACAAGAAGCTTAGATTGCTCACACATAAGACAAGGTGGACACCAAAACTACCTCGGGGTTTTTATAAGCCACTCAGTTCTGAGATGGTTCTGACGCCAAGTCCACCATTCCATTTCACGTACAGTGAAGCAGTGGGGAGCCCCTGAATGGGGCCAGAGCAGGAACCCCACGGATCCCTATGCCTGTGCCCGCTCAGCTGTAGGAGGGTTAATTTTCTCAATTACCAAAAGCCGTGGGTTTTACTCGTTTGTTCATCCTTTGAGCAAATAGTTATTGAGCACCTCTTGGGTACCAGGTGTCACCCCAGAGCTGGCCCCATAGTCAGCGTGAGCTTCCTATCCTCATGGGCAGTCTTCTCATTGGGAGGCAGTCAGCGTACGTACCCAGGTAAACGAACACCGCGGCCCCAGATTCCGTGAGCCTCAGGGAGAGGCGGGGCCTCGCGGTGGAGGTCACTTTAGATGAAGTGCTCTTGTCGGGCAGGAGCGGTATGTGCCCTGTGACCTCAGGGCCCGATGGGACGGTGCACTGATAACCTGTCCTTGCGCCCCACAGGGGAGCTCCTGGATGGACAGAGGGGCCTGGTGCCCTCCAACTTCGTGGATTTCATCCAGGACAACGAGTCGCGGTTGGCAAGCACTCTGGGTACCGAGCAGGATCAGAACTTCATCAACCACTCGGGCCTCAACCTGGGGAGCGAGAACATCCTGGACCTCCACTCCCCGACTCGCACAGACCCGGGCATTACTGATGACGGCGGGGGGATGCTGGATGTGAACATCGATGACATTGGAGAAGACATTGTGCCTTACCCTAGAAAAATCACCCTTATCAAACAGCTTGCCAAAAGTGTCATTGTGGGCTGGGAGCCCCCAGCCGTGCCGCCGGGCTGGGGGACTGTGAGCAGCTACAATGTCCTGGTGGACAAGGAGACTCGGGTGAGCCTAGCCCTGGGCAGCAGAACCAAAGCCCTCATCGAGAAGCTCAACACGGCCGCCTGCACCTACCGCATCTCCGTGCAGTGCGTCACGAGCAGGGGCAGCTCGGACGAGCTGCGGTGCACGCTGCTGGTGGGCAAGGACGTGGCTGTGGCCCCCTCCCACCTGCGCGTGGACAACATTACGCAGATCTCCGCCCGGCTCTCCTGGCTGCCCACCAACAGCAACTACAGCCACGTCATCTTCCTTAACGAGGAGGAGTTCGACGTCGTCAAGGCCGCGCGGTACAAGTACCAGTTCCTCAACCTGAGGCCCAACATGGCCTATAAGGTGAAGGTCCTTGCCAAGCCCCACCAGATGCCCTGGCAGCTGCCGCTGGAGCAGAGGGAGAAGAAGGAGGCCTTCGTGGAGTTCTCCACGCTGCCCGCAGGTGAGCCTGCGTCCTGCCTGGCCCCAGGGAAGGGGGCACAATGGGAGGGAGCCGGGCCATCCATGTGGCCTCCAAGGCTCAAGGTCAGCATGAGGGCACAGTGCCAGTCTGTGCTGATCCAGAGAGGGGACTCAGGGTGGCTTCAGGGCCATCCAGGGACTGCTTCCTCGGCACTGGAGCCAGAGGCTGGTCCTGTGACAGGAGGAGGCTGGGCGCCTTGCCCCTCCATGGGCGTCCACTCCCAGGCCATTGAGGGAGGGCCTGCTCCTGTCCACCTCACTCCTTCTTGTCTCCCGGTCGTGAGTAAGCGCGTGCTGATGGGCTGCAGTGACATGAAGGTTGTCACAGAAGCCACCTGGGTCCTGGCCCAGCTGCGAGGCAAGGCTGTTAGCACCTGTGCCTGTGGCCTGTGGACAGGGAGCTGGCCAGGGCCCTTGTCCCCCGCACCTGGGGAAATCCAGAGGCAATATCAGCTGGAGGGCTCCTTCCTATGGACAGGACCCAGTGACCCCCAGTGCCTGGGCAGGGAGCTGGCTCATGTGACATAGTCACACAAGAGACCTCCCTGTGGGGACTGGGGCTGTTTCCACATGCGCGCCGGGGCCAGGTCTGCCTGAGGCTTCCTGCTGGGCGCTGCCCACATAATCCTTGCTTGAGCAGTCGGAAGGGTCCTCAGCCTCATCTGTGAACGTGAATTCCTCCGTGTTCTCCAGCGTGACCTTTGCCAGCACCTGGCCTCTTAAGCCTCATGTCATGCAGGACTGGCCTTGATGCAGGGGACTGGCTGTGCAGTCCTGTGTGCCCTATGGGGCAGACCCTCAGGAATTGCCCACCCACGGGGCAGCAATGGCAGAAGGTGGGCAGCACCGCCAAGGGAGGGCCTGTCCAAGAGGCGCTGATGGACGGGCAAGGTCAGCACATCATGCTCCGCGGTGAGCTCTGGTTTCCTACCTGGTGGCCGGGATCTGAATAGTGGGGACCCCAGGACATCTCATGGTCAGTGCTGGGGTGAAGGATTGGGAAACACCCAACACGGGCCCCCTGGCCCACTCGGGAGAGCTGGAGAGAGCGTCCCAGGGAGGGAACCTGGGGTGGGGAGTGGGGGTAGCAGGTGTAGCCCCGGGGTCGGCTCCTGAGGACTGGAGAAGGTCTCAGGTGGTCAGCCAGAGGCCTCTCAGTGTCTGGGGAAGAGGGTAGCTGGGAACTGATGGAGGTCGTGTTCTCAGAATTCATTCTTAAACCACAGTCCTCGTCTACCCAAGTGCCGGTGTGGGCAGGGTCAGCATGCCATGCCGGGGGTGCCGGCGTGGGGCTTGTACCACGGGCCCTTCTGTAGCACAGCCAGCAGGGGACACGCTTCATTGAAGTCAGGCATTGGCTCACATGACACATGACGCAGGTCAGGACCCGCCATCTGCCTCCACCAGCTGAGACCAGGACAGCCTGTGGTGTAGAGTCCAGTCCAGGTCTGAGGCCCGAGGGCCAGGAGCACCCAGGCAGGGTGGAGGCAAGCTCACCCCCTCTACCTCTGCCCACACTGTCCATAGTGGCTGGGCGAGGCCACCCTCACAGGGGCCACCTGCTTCTGAGTCACTGACCTGCAGGAACAAGGTCACCAGCTCACTGGGCCCCTCCCTAATGGCCCAGCACCTTACAGCTAGTGTCCACCTTCTTAGGCCCTCACCAGCCCTGATTGGTGGGCCTTTCTGAGTGACAGATGCACTGTCCAGTGTGTAATCACAGCCGCATGTGGCTCCGAGCACTTGAAAGGACCCAAACTTTAAATCTCATCTAAATTCTAATAAACGAGAATGCCAGGTGCAGCTCGAGCTACTGCACTATACCACAGGTCAAGGTCACAGCACGATTGCGCAGGGAGCTTGAAGGTTGAGGTCATGGCACAACTTGAGCAGGGAGCTTGGAGGTCAAGGTCATGGCATGATTGAGCAGGAAGCTTGGGGGTCAAGGTCAGGGCACAACTTGGAGGTCTGGTCCTGATGGTGAGGACAGTGGGCAGAGCAGTCTAAAAGGTGAGCGCAGAATGTGCTGCAGAGGTTGGGCTCAAGCTGTGTGACTCTGAGCCTGTGCTTTACCTCTCTGTGCGGCAGGACCCACTCTGTAAAGCAGGGGCAACGGTAGTAACTACCTCATTGGTGTTCTTACTGAGAAGGGAGGTAATTCCTTGAACTGGACAGGAATAGCTCCAAAAGTGGGATTCAGGGTTTCTAGGAGTTATTTTGGGGAGAGAGTTCTGCTTATTTTGTTTAGACATGAAAGATGCTTTGCTGCGATGTCCTGAGCTGGGCCCCGAGTGCCTGTGGGTACCAAAAAAATAACTGAGGCGGGTGTGGGTGTCCAGGGCAGGCACGGGGCTCGTGTGCTGGTACGCGGGGCAGGGCCTTCCTGTTCTGCCAGCTCTTCTTCCACTTGCTCAAGTGTGCCCTGCTATATGCACACACCCTTGAGGAGACGGCGTGGAGTCCACTCATCCCAAGCAGACTGTTCCCTTTAGCCCACCTGGGAGGTCAGAAGGGATCAGAAGATCCAACCTGCCCATACCATGAAACCTGACCAGGCGTGGGCAGAAGCCCTGGCTGAGGGTGGAGTTAAGAAAGGCCCCTGTCCCCTCCTCGGGGGAGAGGGAAGAGGATGGGCTGGCTCCAGGACTGAGCCCTGCTATGCCTCGGGATGTGCTATCCAGGTCTCTCCATGGTGCTGGGGATGGAACCACAGACTCTCTTCCTTCATCCCTTGAGAGTGCTCTTCCACCGCTGTGGGCCCGCATTGTCTCCACGCTCAGTCAGCCGTCCTTCCTGTCGACCCTTCTTGATACTTTTAAGATTTCTTTTATCTTTTTTATTCTGATGTGCTCATGCTTTTATTTTATTTATCTTTCTAAAAAAATTAATGTAGATTCCTGGGCCTCCAGTAATAGTTTTCTTCAAAGTTTGAACATATTTGAACTGTTTTCTCCTTCCTCTCTCTCCTCATTGTGAAACTCTGCTGCACACAAGGCAGAGGGTCTGAAGGGTCCTAGAGGTCTGCAGACCCCTGATATTCACCGTTGCATTTCCTTATTGTGTCACAGTTAGGATGATTTGTTTTCTCTGTCTTCCAGTTTTGGGAGTCCTTGCTTTGCAGTATTCAATCTGCAACTGTGAAGACCATCAAATGAGTTTTTCGTCTGTTTGTTTAGCTTCTTTATCTTTCTGGGATTTTCATTTGGTTCTTTTTTAGTTTTCTTCTTGCTCTTGGATTCTCTGTTTCTTTATATCCTTTAACCTATTTGCAATGATTATTTTAAAGAATTTTCTAATTGCAACTTCAGAGTCATCATGGGCTAACTTCGGCTGACTTTTTTTTTTTTTTTTTGGTACCAAGGATTGAACCCAGGAGTGCTTAATCACAGACCCATATTCCTAGCCC